TTTTAGTAGAGACGGGGTCTCGCTCTTGCTCAGGCTGGTCTCGAACTCCTGAGCTCAAACAATCCGCCCTCCTAGGCCTCCCAGAGTGCTAGGATTACAGGCATGAGCCACCACACCTGGCTTGGAAAATGAAATTTTAAAAATACCATTTACAACAGGACCCACACCCAAAAAACTCTTAGGGATAAATTTAACAAAAAACATGCAGAACCTCTATACTGAAAACACTGCTGAGAGACAGTCAAGACAGTGTAAATAAATGGATAGATATTGCTTGCTTATGGATGGGAAGATTCAACATTGTTAAGATGTCCATTCCCCCAAGATTTGCAAATAAATTCAATGTAATCACTATCAAAACTCCAGCAGGCTTTTTGTAGAAATTGACAAGCTGATTCTAAAATTTGGAATTTTGCATATGGAAACGCAAAACCTAGAGTAGCTAAAACAATATTGAAAAAGAAGAACAAAGCTGAGGAACATACGGTACCCTCACTTCAAACTTCATTTGTCAAGGTAGTTATCTAGACAGTATGGTACTGGCAAAAGGACAGATTAATAAAACAGAACAGAGAGCCCTGAATTAGACTCACACATGTTCAGTCAAATAGTTTTCACCAAGGGTGCCAAAGAAATTAAATGGGAAAAGTAAAGTATTTTCAATAAGCGGGGTTGGAATACCTGGATATCTGTAAGGAAAAAAAGAACCTTGACCCCTATTGTCACACAATAAACAAAAATTAATTTCAGGCATATGATAGACCTAAACATAAAAGCAAAAACTATAAACCTTCTATATAAAAACTGGGTAATATTTTCATGAATTAGTGTAGGCAAAGATTTTTTGGAGAGAAAACAAAAATCACTAACCCACAGAGAAAAACTGATAAATTGGATTTCCTCAAAATTTTAAACTTCTAGGCATCTAAATTGGAAAGAAGTAAAATTATCTCACTTCATAGCTGCCATGATCTTATATGTAGAAAACCCTAAAGGTTCCACAAAAAAAAAAACTGAATAAATGAATTCATTTATTAGTTAATAAATGCTACTTACAGGATACACCATCAACATACAAAAATCAGTCACACTTCTATACACTAACAGTGAATACTCCCAAGAGGAAATTAAGAAAACAATTCCATTTACAATAACATCAAAAAGAACAAAATACTTAGGAATACATTAAAACAAAGATGTGAAAGACTGCTACACTGAAAACTACAAAACAATTTTGGAAGAAATTAAAGACGACATAAATAAGTAAAAAGATCTCATGTTCATGGACTGGAAGACTTATTATTGTTAAGATGACAATAATACCCAAAGTAACTTACAGATTCAATGCAATACTTTTCAAAATCCCAATGATAGTTTTTGTAGAAATAGAAAAACCCATCCTAAAATTCGGATGGAATCTCAAGGGACCCCAAATAGTCAAAAACAATCTCGAAAATAAGAAAAGTTGGAGGACTCTCACTTCCTGATTTAAAAATTAATACAAAACTACAGTAATCAAAAACCATGTGATTCTGGCATAAAGACAGACACATAAACCAATGGAACAGAATAGAGAGTCCAGAAATAAACTCTTACACGTATGGCCAAATGATTTTTCACAAGGGTGCCACGGCCATTCAGTGGGGAAAGAGCAGGTTTTTTACAAATGGTGTTGCGAAAACTGGATATCCACATGCAAAAGAAGAAAGTTGAACCCTTACCTAACACTATGTATAAAAATTAACTCAAAATGGATCTAACAACGTAAGACCTAAAATCATAAAACCTTTAGAAGAAAACATAGGGGAAAGCTTTATGACATTAGCAATGATTTCCTGGATATGACACCAAAAGCATAGGTAATAAAAGAAAAATTAGGTAAACTGGACTACATCAAAATTTAAAACTATGCATCAAAGAACGGAGTCAATAGAGTGAAAAACAACCTACAGAAAATATGAAATAATATTTTCAAATAAAAAATCTGACAAGGGATTAATATCCAGAATATATAAAGAATTCTTATAATTCAACAACCAAAAAACCCAATTTAAAAAATAGACAAAGGACTTGAATAGACATTTCTCCAAAGACATTCAAAGGCTCATAAGCACATGAAAAGATGCTCAAACATCAGTAGCCATTAAGGAAATGCAAATCAAAACCACGATGAGATACCATTTCACATACATTAGGATGGCTGTTATTAAAAAAAATAGAAGAAACAAGTATTGGTAAGAATATGAGAACTGGAACCCTTGCACAATGCTGATGTAAAATGGTGCAGCCACAGTGGAAAACAGTACGGTGCTTCCTCTAGAAAATAAGCACCGTATGATCTAGCATTTCCACTTCTAGATATATCTCAAAAGAACTGAAAGCAAGGACTCAGACACTTGCACACCAATGTTCACAGCACTATTATTCGCAACGGCTAAAAGGTAGAAACAACTCAAACAGATGAACGGATAAACAAAATATAGTGCATACATACAATGGAATAATAGTCTTAAAAGGGAATGAAATTCTAACACAAGCTACAAGACGAACTTTGGAAATACTACACTAAGTAAAATGAGCCAGATATAAAAGGACAATTATTATATGATTCTATTATATGAGATACCTAGAATAGGCAAATTCACAGACACAGAAAGTATAACAGAGGTCAGCAGGGGCTGAGGGAAGGGGGAGATGGGGAGTTACTGTTTAATGGGCATAGAGTTTCTATTTGAAAAAGATGAAAAAGTTCTCTACAGTGTATAGTGATGATGGTTGCACGACAATGTGAATGTACTTAATGCCGCTGAATGGTACACTTTAAAATGGTTAATATGGTAAATTTTATGTTATGTATATTTAACCACAATAAGCAAATAATAAGAACTCAAAAATTTTTTTAAACATTTTATTATCAAAAGACACCATTCAGAAAATGAATAGGTAAGTCACAGACTGGGGAAAAATATGTACGACACACATATTTGACACAGGACTTATATCTAGGATATACAAATAATTCCCATAACTTAATAAAAAGACAAATCAATTTTTAAATGGTCAAAAGACTTAGAAACTTCATAAAAGATGATACACAAGTAGCAAATAAGCACATA